CAAAGGAAGAGGGGAAAGGAGGTGGGGTCATAGCCCCCTCCTGAGGGGGAGAGGGTGCAGAGGGAGGCAGGGGATCCGGGTGGTCCCCTGGCTCAGGGCCAAAATGAGCAAACAGGTCCAAGGGAGTTTTGCCTTCCATGCCTTTTTCTTTCCAGGTGCCCCCACTGGGAGGAGCAGGAGAGTGGGGGGTTTCTGGGAGGGAAGGTTCAGGACCCCCAAAACCATTCTGCATTCGATGAGGCCCCACAGGCCCTTCCTTAGTTACCCCAGCAGCCCGGGTCCCATCCCCTGCTGAGCCTCCAGCCAGGGCCTCAGACTGCTCAGGACACACAGTGTTCTTGACAATGACACTAACTACAGAAATGTCTGACGGTGGCAGGCCATGGTCAGAGGCCTGGGCTGGAACTCCAGGGCCATCCCCAGCTGAGGCTGCTGCTGTGTCTCGAGATTCACTTCCCACACCTGGTTCTGGCTTCCCTGGGCCTCCTGGCCCCTCATTTTCTTCTGGCCCAGAATGGATGGCTTCATTTGCATCAATGTCAGGGATGTCAAAGGCAGCAAGGAGGTCATCAAAATCAGGGGTCTTCATGTCCCCCATATCGGCAGGTCCCAGACCTGATGAAAACAGGAATAAGGAGAAACTGAGATGTCTGGAGATCCTGGAGCTCTTTCCTCAGCATCTCCATATTTATCCTCTCTCAGAACCCATATGCACTCCAACTTAGGTACACCTCCACCACAGCATGAATCCTACAGAGCTGCTAGGTTTGCCAAACCCTAAAATCAGAAGGTTAGTGTCCATACCCTGGCAGGCTCCAAAATCCAGAGAAAGCAGGAGAAAAGAGAGTTCTCAGAAATACAGGGAAGGGGCCAGGTGCGGTGGCTCATGCTTGTAGTCCCAGTGTTTTGGGAGACTGAGGCAGGTGGATCACTTGAGGTCAGGAGTTTGAGACCAGCCTGGCCAACATAGTGAAACCCTGTCTCTACTAAAAATACAAAAAACTAGACAGGTGTGGTGGCGCATGCCTGTAATAGCAACTACTCAGGAGGCTGAGGCAGAAGAATCACTTGAACCCATGAGGTTGAGGTTGCAGTGAGCCAAGATCATGCCACTGCACTCCAACCTGGACAGAGTAAGACCCTGTCTCAAAAAGAAATACAGGGGGCCAGGCACAGTGGCTGACACCTGTAATCCCAGCACTTTGGGAGGCAGAGGCGGGCGGATCACGAGGTCAGGAGATCAAGACCATCCTGGCCAAGATGGTGAAACCCCGGGGCTACTAAAAATACAAAAAGTAGCTGGGCGTGGCAGCACTCACCTATAGTCCCAGCTACTCGGGAGGCTGAGGCAAAAGAATTGCTTGAACTCGGGAAGCGGAGCTTGCAGTGAGCCGAGATTGTGCCACTGTACTCCAGCCTGGGTGACAGAGCAAGACTCCATCTCAGGAAAAAACACACAAAAAAAGAAGAAGAAATACAGGAACAGGGGAGCTCAGTGAGCATCCTGGTGGAAACCAGCTCATCCCCTCCTGTGCCCAGCACAGAACCAAATAATCGATACTATCATTAAGGAGGATGATGTATATGATGCTCTAGGTTTAAGGGCTCATTCATGTCCACATGGAATCAATTCATATTCTTCATGGATCTTCTGGGGTCCACAGAGATCTGAAAGGCTATGTGTACAAAGGGACAAGGCCGTAAGCCAAGACTTAAGAAATGATCCTCGTTCAGCTTTATCAGGGGCCTGCAGTACAAGCAAGTTTCTTCAGTGCCTTACTTTTGCTGTTTGAAAGAGGACACAAATGGCCGGGTGTGGTGGCTCACATCTGTAATCCCAGCACTTTGGGAGGTCAATCACTTGGGCCCAGGAGTTCAAGACCACCCTGGGCAACATGGTGAAACTCCCCAGGCATGATGGCACATGCCTGTATTCCCAGCTATGCCTCCCAGCTGACATGGGAGGATCCCCTGAGCCCAGGAGGTCGAGGCTGTGATGGGCCATGATCACGCCACGCACTCCAGCCTGGGTGACAGAGTGAGACCCTGTCTCAAAAAAAAAAAGAAGAAAAAGAAAAGACAAGACAGAGAGCACAAGTGATCTATATATCATAGGGTTATTCTGAGCACAATACGAAATTGCTAATGTAAGAATCACACCGAGAATACGATTCACTATTCCAGATGAACCAAGCAAGGACATGTCAGGTCAAGGAAGAGCTGGAAAGGAATAACCCCTGGAACTCTAGGGCTGGGGTCGGAGGCAAGAGTCAGGGGTCATGCAGGATCAAGTCTAGGGCACCTGGGGCCATCACTGGCACCTGGAGATCTAGCTTGGTCAGCAGGGAGAAAAGGACTCAAGGAAATTACCCAAGAGACCAAGATGGAAAAAATAAGACACAGGAACAGAAAGAGACAAAGAGAAGAGACAGAGGGGAAAATGGTGATGGCAGCCTGGTCACAAGGGCCCCAGCCTAGGCCTCTCCTGTCACAAACACCTGCTGCTCGCTCACTACCTTCCCCAGAGTGCCTGGCCCTCCCCTAGCCAGCCCCTCCTTCACCACCCCTCCGCAGCTTGCTCTCTTGAGGCTAAAACTCCCAGGGTACACACTTATCCAGCACAGCTGCCACAGTGGGGAAAAGCCAGGCTCCTTCACCCCTCACCTATCATTTCTGCTCCGAGCTCCTCACCCCATTCCATTCCCTAACTTAAACTCCTCACCCTTTCCATTTTCCTGTGGCAACAGTAGCCCAGGAAGTTTCACCTAACCTCAACCTAGCCAAGTGCAAAAAATAAAATTTAAAATCCCACAAGAATTATGTGGTACTAATCGAACATGCAGGCCAGCTCAGAGTTTGTGGGAGACCCATGTCTGTCCCCTGCCAGTGCCTCCCCATGACTGTTTCTGTATCTACGAAGAAGCAACTAAAGAATCTATCCCTATCCATTCCATGCCCAGGTTGCAGGCCATTTCTCGAAGCCAGTTCTCCCACTTCTCTCCAGCCTTCATACTGTAACTAGAGACAGCCGCAGCATGTGGCAGCTGGAATTCCTGGGACCAAGGTGGGGTGGGGGCAAAGGATACCAACCAGACAAAGGGGGAGTCCTTCCCTCACTCCCACCCTATTTAATTCTGCAGACTCTGGGTTTAAACAAAACCCCTTGTCTCTATGGGCCTGGCTCCTAAGCCTGGCTCCCTCCTGATCAGAGGCCTGAGCTACCTTCCATTCAGGTACTCAGAAGTGGACTGGTACAGGGAAGACCAGCAAAGACTAGAAAACACCTGTGAACTCACCCGCACACCCCCCGCCGCCAGCCACCTCCCTCTTGGGAGTTCCAGTGACTTAGAGGTCATCCGATGGCCACCCACTCAGAGCAGTCGACCAAGCAAGTCGCCGAGCTCAAGGCCAAGGAAGATCAGGCCTTCCTGCGACTGCTGAGCCCTGTCTCTAGGGCTCCTATCTCCCCTGCCCCCTTTCCCTCTGTGCTTCCCCAAAAGCCAAAGAGGCTGAACAGGAAAAGGCTGAACAGACCCAGGTCGAGTGGGGGCTTCACTGCCCTTTGCCCGGGCCCAAGGCCTGCAGCGCAGAGGAGGGCGAGGGGCTGGCGGCGATTAGGTTGCGGCCAAGCTGGGCAGCGGGCGGAATTAAGTCCCTGCCATCTGCCGAGGGCCGGCGCGGGGAACAAGTCCTGGGTTGCGAGGAGGGGGCGGGGTGTACACAAGAGAAACTACAAGGGAAACTGAGGCGCGCGGCGCTTCTCTCACTCGCACCGGCGTGCGAAGCGAAGGCCGGGCCTCAGTCAGGCCAGGCCCTTTGGTACCTGCTGCGCAGCACCTGGGGACCCAGGACTACACAGGATGGGGTGGGGAGCTGGGAAAGAGGGGAGGAGAGAAGGGGCGGTCTCTGCGCGACTCTCAGCTCTCTAGCCGGGGTCCGTCCCAACTCGGACCTCGTCCCCTCGCCTCCGGGCGCAGCGGAACCTCCTTCCGCCGCGGACTCCCGGAGGCTCGCTAGAGACTGGAGACTGATCGGAGGGTGCACATGGGGCCAGGGGCGCAAGCCTGATTCTTGCCCGGGCCCGGACGCTGACCCGCGCCCAGTCGGGGTGCAGGCTCCGCTCCGGCCTGGCCCAGTCCCCCCGCCCCCATCCCCGGGAACGGACACCATTTTAGGTCGCGACATCCCGCAGCCTCCAATCTCCGGGCCGCACTTCGGGTGCCTCTCGAGCTGGGGGCGCCAGGACTTGGGGTTCTCGACCCTCCTGGGGGTTTACCCGGCTAGGGGCTGTGCTTTCAACAGGCCGGGAGTTTTGCCCATCCGCCCCAATGGATGGAGGCGGTGTCTGGGCCCTCCTAGAAGCCGCCCCAGGGGGCGGCGCGGAGAAGGGGGTAGTTGACCAAGTGGGGGAGGGGCGGGGGTATTTACCCGCCCCCCCAAGTGGGCGGAGCCAAGGGCGGGTATTTACCCCAGGCACGCTTACTTGTTCCGCTCCTGGTGCGGGCCGAGACCCGGCGGTCTCTACCCCACTCCAGCCGCTGCCGCCACCGCCGCCCTCCCCGCGGCCGCCGCTACTTCCTGCTTCTCTCCGGTTCAGCCTCCCCCCTCCCTCTCCTCCCTCCGCGCTCCGGGTCTGGGCTGCCCGCTTTCGCACTCGCCATTGGCCCTTGCCCCCTTCGCTCAGCCCTGCGCCCCTCCCAGCCCCGCACTGGGTTGGTCCTAAGTACTGCCGCTCGGAACTAGCCCCGCACAGTCCTCTTATGCTCATTGGGCAAGGGGCCGAGGCCCTCTGAAGATACCTCTCCCCATTGGCTGCGCAAGGGTCCGTCTGCCCCCATCTGCAAGTCACGGAAACGATTGGCCTCCGCCACTGTCGCTTAGAAAGAAGCCAGCCTGCTTCCCGGCTTTCCTACTAGAGAGGGGAGCGCCCAGGTGCGTCTCCGCCCCTCGCTCCCTATTGGCCGCTCGAAGCTTGAAGCTGCAGTTCACTTTCGCGAATCGAAGGAATCCAGCTTCTGTGTGGTGGGCGCTTTGAGCAGAACCGCACTGAGTCGGAGTGCAGGACGGAAGTGTAGGTCCTTTTGCGCTGTTTCAAGCTAATTCCGTGTCACTGATGCCGGGCAGAAGTCACAGAATGGGACGCCACCCCAAACATTACGTCATCCGCTGACCATTTCCTCGCTGTCTTCCCACCGTCTAAATCGCCATATAATCTGATGGATGGGATCCTCGCACGGGCCAGCTCCTGGGCCACAGCGTAACCCGTCGCTCCTCCCTCTGCGGGAGGGCGTGGACGGGGTACGGGATTCCGAACGTGGAAGGAATCGGGACCTAAAGGTTGGGAAGTGCTCGCGGACCGGAAGCGGGGGAGGCGACGTTAGGAGTGCTGGCGTGGCCTGGGCCATTTCCAAAGAGGCCTTAAAGGGGCAACTGATAGGCTTCCTAAGTATGGGCTGGAGGTACCCCCCAGCTCCATTTCCCATTTAAGAGCTCCCCTTTTCCCCGCCCCCAGCAAGGAGTAGGGGGTGGGGTCAAGGTCGAGTTTTCCCGCGCTTTGTTGCCACGCCCCCTGCAGGCGGGGGAAAGGGAGGAGTCGCTCGGAAAATGAATCTCTTAAATGTTCTAATAGCACTGGCAGAATTCGTCTGCAAGCCCAGCGTGCCACCTCGCGCACGCAGCCGCTCGTTAACTGCATGGTGTTTTTTTTTTTTAATTAGTTTTTTTGAGGCAGTCTCACTCTGTTGCCCGGGTGGGAGCACAGTAGTGCGATCACGGCTGACTGCAGCCTCAACCTCCCAGGCCCCAGTGATCCTCCCCCCTCAGCCTCCTGAGTAGCTGGGACTACAAGAGACAGCCAACACGCCCGGCTAGTTTAATTTTTTGTAGAGACAGGGTTTTGCCATGTTGCCCAGGCTGGTCTCAAGAGATACTTCAGACGTGAGCCACTGCTCCCTACCTTGGCGAAGTTTTTTTTTTTTTAAACAGGCCCTCATTCTGTAGTCCAGACTGGAGTGCAGTGGCGGGACCTCGGCTCACTGCAACCTCCACCTCCCAGGCTCAAGCGATTCTCCAGCCTCAGCCTCCCGACTAGCTGGGATTACAGGTGTGCAACACTACCCGCCCGGCTTTTTTTTTTTTTTTTTTTTTTTTTTTGAGACGGAGTCTCGGCCCTGTCACCCAAGCTGGAGTGCAGTGGTGCGATCTCGGCTCACTGCAAGCTGCGCCTCCCGCGTTCACGCCATTCTCCTGCCTCAGCCTCCCGAGTAGCTGGGACTACAGGCGCCGGCCACTACGCTCGGCTAATTTTTTGTATTTTTAGTAGAGACGGGGTTTCACCATGTTAGCCAGGATGGTCTCGATCTCCTGACCTCGTGCTCTGCCCTCCTCGGCCCCCCAAAGTGCTGGGATTACAGGTGTGAGCCACCGTGGCCGGCCATTTTTGTATTTTTAGTAGAGACGGGGTTTCACCATATTGGCCAGGCTGGTCTCGAACTTCTGACCTCAAATGATCCACCCGCCTCAGCCTCCCAAAGTGCTGGGATTACAGGTGTGACCCACCGCGCCCGGCAGGGTTTTTAAAAGTGGTTTTGTTACGCTGCCCAGGAGTCCCAGGACACTGGAACCAGGACTCCCCATCGAGCCCCGGCAGTTTCCGAGCTCCTTTGAAGTATGAGTCAGAACTTATGGATGGGAATCCTGGAGCCACCACTTGCCCTATGATGGCAATGGGCAAGTCGCTCAACCTCCCAGATCCTGTTTTCTCATGGGTAAAACGGGGATTATAATACCACCTGACAATATTATTTTTGTGAGGATTAAATGATTTTAGAATGTAAACGTGCTTTGTAAAGTAATTGGCAGTTGGGATTAGTGTGCCCTTTCTCCCGGAGACTTGCATCCTGTGTGCTCGGTCCGCCTGCATTTGCTCCCAGTCGCTCCAGCTCAGATGCTCTTCCTTCTCTGAGGACTATTTAAGGGTCCCTATGTAAGCAACCGGCATTCCGTTTCCACCTCCTCTTCTGGTCTTCCTATACGGAATAACAGTTACTACTCATATACACATAATATTATGGGGGACTCACACCTGTAATCCCAGCACTTTGAGAAGTCTAGGTGGGTAGCTCGCTTGAGCCCTGGAGTTCGAGACCAGCCTGTGCAACATAGCAGGACTCTGCCTCTACAAAATATTTGGGAAAAAAAAATTAGCCAGGGGTGTTGGCAGGCGACTGTGATCCCAGCTCCTGGGGAGGCTGGGATGGAAGGATCGCTTGAGCCTAGGAAGTCAAAGCTGCAGTGAGCTGGGATCGCACCACTGCACTCCAGCCTGGGAGACAGAGCAAGACCCTGTCTCAAAAAAAAAACACACACACACACACACAAATAAAAACGTTATGTATATCATTAATAACTCATGCAATCCTTAGCACAACCATGGAAGGAGGTACTATTCCAGGTACTGGGGGTGCAGCAGTTAACAAAGCAGACAAGAAGCCCTGTCATGAAACACACATTCTTAAAGAGAAGACAAACAATAAATATTAGAACTGATAGCTGCCAAGGAATAAAATAGAGCTATCAAGCCATGCAAAGACAGAGGAATCTGCAGTGCACGTGAATAAATGAAGAAGCCAATCTGAAAAGGCTGCATGCCTTATGATTCCAACTATGTGACATTCTAGAAAAGGCAAAACTAGAGAGAGTAAAAAGATCAGTGGTTGGTTGCCGAGGGTTCAGGTGGAGGGAGGGAGATGAATAAATGGAGCACAGGGGACTCTAAGGACACTGAAACTATTCTGTATGATACTGTAATAGTGGATACATGGCATTATTCATTTGTCAAAAGCCATGGAATGTACAACACAAAGACTGAACCCTGTGAGCGTGGTGGCTCACACATGTAATCCCTGAACTTTGGGAGGCCAAAGCGGGAGGATCAACAAAAAAATTAGAAAAATTAGCGGAGTACAGTGGCGCACACCTGTAGTCCCAAGTACTCAAGAGGCTGAAGCGGGAGAGTTCCTTGAGCCCAGCAGTTTGAGGCTGCAGTGAGCTATGATCCTGCTGCCGCACTCCAGCCTGGGCAACAAAGTGAGACCCTGTCTCTTAATAATAAAGAATCCATATTGGTTCATCAATTGTAACAAATGTACCACACTAATGCAAGATATTAATGAATAATAGAGTAACCTGAACAACATGAAGAGACCCCATCTCTACAAAAAAACTTTTTTTAAGTGTGGCATGGTGGTGCACGCCTGTGGTCCCAGCTATTTGGGAGGCTGAGGAGGGAGAATCACCTGAGCCCTGGAGGTCAAAGTTGCAGTGAGGTATAGTCACACCGCTGCACTCCAGCCTGGGCAAAAGACCAAGACCTTGTCTCAATAACAACGGGAAACTGGAGAGAGGATATGTGGGAACTCCCATTTTGTGCTCAGTTTTTCTGTAAACCTAAAAATGCTGTAAAAAATAAAGTGTTGGCCGGGCGCGGTGGCTCAAGCCTGTAATGCCAGCACTTTGGGAGGCCGAGACAGGCGGATCACGAGGTCAGGAGATGGAGACCATCCTGGCTAACACGGTGAAACCCCGTCTCTACTAAAAAATACAAAAAACTAGCGGGGCGCAGTGGCGGGCGCCTGTAGTCCCAGGTACTCGGGAGGCTGAGGCAGGAGAATGGCGTGAACCCGGGAGGCGGAGCTTGCAGTGAGCTGAGATCCGGCCACTGCACTCCAGCCTGCGCGGCAGAGCGAGACTCCGTCTCAAAAAAAAAAAAATAAAATAAAGTGTTAATTTAAAAACAAAAACAATCAAAAAACAAAGCAGGCGGCTAGGTGCGGTGGCTCACACCTGTAATCCCAGCACTTTGGGAGGCCGAGGCGGGTGAATCACGAGGTCAGGAGATCGAGACCATCCTGGCTAACACGGTGAAACCCTGTCTGTACTAAAAATACAAAAAATTAGCTGGGCATGGTGGCACACACCTATAGTCCCAGCTACTTGGGAGGCTGAGGCAAGAGAATCGCTTGAACCCGGGTGGCAGAAGTTGCAGTGAACCGAGATTGCGCCACTGCACTACAGCCTGGGCGCAGAGCAAGACTCCGTCAAAAAAAAAAAAAAAAAAAAAGCAGGGAAGGATGACAGTAAGTGTGGGAGGGTTGCAATTTTAGATCGGGTGGACAATGAAGGCCTTTCCAAGAAGATGGTGGTTAAGTAAAGGTCTGAAGGAGATGAGGGAGTGAGCCATGCAGCTATCTGGGACAAGAACATTCCAGGAAGAAAGAACAAGTACAAGGTCCTCAGGTGGGGAGTGTGTTCCAGAGTGGGTGGGAGGAGCGAGTTGGGTCATGGGATGCTTTGGAAGCTATGGGAAGTTCTTTGGCATTTTCTCAGAGTGGGATAGGAAGCCATCAAAAGGAGACAGATGACGTGGTGGCCTGACTTACGTTTTAAAAGGGTTGAAAGTGCGGTGTGAGAGAAAGAAAAGACTCCAGAGCTTGGAGGCTGAGGAAGTAGAAGCATGATATTGCCCCATTTCTTGAGCTGAGAAGACTACAGGAGAAGCAGGTTTTAGGGGTTAGGTCGGTAGCTCAGTTTTAGTCATGTTGAGGTATTACACATCCAAGTGGAGATACAAATGTAGGTGTCATCAGCTTATAGATAGTGTTTAAAACCCAGGTCAGAATGGATGAGATCACCAAGGGAGGACTGAGGCACGGGAAACTCCAAAGTTAAAAGGTCAAGGAGATGAGAAGAACAGCAAAGAGGAAGGAGGGAACCAGGAGAATGTTGTAACCTTCAAGCTAAATTTAAAAAGTATCTCAAGAAAGAGGAAGAGAGAATGATAGATGCCACTAAAATATCAAATAGGATGAAACCTGAGAATTGACCAATGGATTTAAGCAAAATGGAGGTCACCGGTGATCATGATAAGGAGAGATTTGATGGACTGGTGGGGACAAAAGCCTGCATGGAATGGGTTCAAAAGAATGGAGGAGGAAAAAAGAAAAGTCACTATAAAACTCTTTCAAAGGAAGGAAGGAGAAAAAAGATGGTAACTAGAGGAAAAAAAGCGACCAAGAAAGGACTGTTTCTTTTAATAGTTATCTCTTTTTCTCATCAGGTTCTACTGACCCAAGGAAAGGACTATTTATTTGAAGATGAAGAAGTTGTATGTTAGTACACGGGTGGGGAGGATCCTGTAGACAGGAGAAACTGAAGTAGCAGAGCGATAAGGAAAGTTCCTGGAACCATGTTCTTCAGAAGGTGAGCGAGAGGGTCAAGTTCACAAACAGAGGCATTGCCTTACACAGCGGCAGGAACAGTTCCCGAATAATAATTGGGAGAGAAGGCAGAGTGAGCGGGCATGGGTCGAGGGAGCTGGGGAGCTGTGGGATATCTCTTTGTTGTTTCTGTTGTCCAGTGGTATAAGAAAGAGCATGTGTTGTCAAACTCTATAAGAATAAAAAATCAAGATCACCCTCTAAGAGTGAGGATGATGAAGAAACTAGGAGTTTGAGGAGAAAAAAGGTAGGAAATACGCATTCAGGAGAGAGGAATGGACTAGAAGGGGAGATCAAGAGACTGAGAGGCCAGTGGCCTGGAAGACTCATTTACCTGGATATTTAAATCAACAGGAATGGGCCGGGTGCAGTGGCTCACACCTGTAATCCCAGCACTTTGGGAGGCCGAGGCAGGCGAATCACCTGAGGTCAGGAGTTCGAGACTAGCCTGACCAACATGAAGAAACTCTGTCTCTACTAAAAATACAAAAATTAGCCAGGCATAGTGGTGCATGCCTGTAATCCCAGCTACTCGGGAGGCTGAGGTAGGAGAATCACTTGAACCTGGGAGGCGGAGGTTGTGGTGAGCCGAGATTGTGCCATTGCACTCCAGCCTGGGCAACAAGAGTGACACTCCGACTCAAAAAAAAAAAATTCTTGAACTTCATATATATAGAGAGTATGATTCCATTTATATATGTGTGTGTGTGTGTGTATATATATACACTATACATATATAGTATGATTCCATTTATATAAAGTTCAAGCCAGGCGTGGTGGCTCATACCTGTAATCCCAGCACTTTGGGAGGCTGAGACAGGTGGATCACAAGGTCAGGAGTTCAAGACTAGCCTGGCCAAGATGCTGAAGCCCCATCTCTACTAACAACACAAAAATTAGCCAGGCGTGGTGGTGTGCACCTGTAATCGCAGCTACTTGGGAGGCTGAGGCAGGAGAATCGCTTGAACCTGGGTGGCAGAGGTTGCAGTGAGCTGAGATCGTGCCACTGCACTCCAGCCTGGGCAACAGAGCAAGATTCCGTCTCAAAAAATAAAACAAAAATAAAAAATAAAGTTCAAGAACAGGCAAAGTAAATCAATGGTGATAGTAGCAGAATTGTGGTAACCATTGCCTGGGAAAGGGTAAGAGGAATATATATATACACACACACACACACACACACTCACACACATTTTTTTTTTTTTTTAAACAAGGTCTTGCTCTGTCACCCAGGCTGGAGTGCAGTGGGGCAATCACGGCTCACTGCAGCCTCAACCTCCTGGGCTCAAGTGATCCACCCACCTCAGCCTCCCAAGTAGCTGGGGGTGCAGATGTGAGGCACTGTGCCGGCTAGTAGGAGGAATCTTTGGAGATGCACACATAGACCACCAGATTAATGGTGCGCACCTTCTGTTAATAGTACCCACCACCTTTCCTTGTTGCAGCCGTCTTCTGTCTCACCCTACTCTGTCCTATACTACTCCTATCCCCATTCTTGATTGTTATTATTATTATTATTATTTTTTTTTTTTTTTGAGACGGAGTCTCGCTCTGTCGCCCAGGCTGGAGTGCAGTGGCGCGATCTCGGCTCACTGCAAGCTCCGCCTCCCAGGCTCACGCCATTCTCCTGCCTCAGCCTCCCGAGTAGCTGGGACTACAGGCGCCACCACCACACCCAGCTAATTTTTTGTATTTTTAGTAGAGACGGGGTTTCACCGTGTTAGCCAGGATGGTCTTGATCTCCTGACCTCGTGATCCGCCTGCCTCGGCCTCCCAAAGTGCTGGGATTACAGGCGTGAGCCACCGCATCCGGCCGATTGTTATTATTATTATTATTAGTCTTCACAAACCTTCTGTCTTTGCTTAAAATATATTGTTTCATTTTTCACATCTTTGCCATGGAGGGCAGTAATAAGTAATTGAGAACTACACACGAAGGGATGGAGAGAACCCTGGAGAAATGTTAGGATGAGCAGCAGAAGTCACCTACCTGTCCTTGACTTGCAGCAGGTAGCAGACCAAGCAGTACCCAGCACAACTTTGCACAAAATTTCGCTGGGCACTGAGGAATGCCTCAGTGGTGTAACTGCCATGCTCCTGTAGAAAGTAATCGAGCAAGGAGAGCTGTGACTGTTTCTTATTATTAGTCTCGCTCTCACCCAGGTTGGAGTGCAATGGCACAGTCTCAGCTCACTGCAACCTCCACCTCTCGGGTTCCAGCGATTCTCCTGCTTCAGCCTCCAGAGTAGCTGGGATTACAGGCGCCCACTGCCATGCCTGGCTAATTTTTTGTGTGTGTTTTTAGTAGAGGCGGAGTTTACCATACTGGCCAGGCTGGTCTCGAACTCCTGACCTCGTGATCTGCCTACCTTGGCCACCCAAAATACCGGGATTACAGGCGTGAGCCACCATGCCTGGCTTTTTCTTTTTTGAGAGAGGGTCTCACTCTCTCCAGGCTGGAGTGAGTGAGACCAGGCTGGAGTGCCCTGGTGCAGTCTTGGCTTACTGCAGCCTTGAGCTCCTGGGCTCATGTGATCCTCCCATGTCAGCCTCCCGAATAGCTGGGATTACAGGCATGCACCACCATGCCCAGCTAATTTTTTTATTTTTGGTAGAGATGGGGTCCCACTATGTTGCCCAGGTTGCTCTCGATCTCCTGGGTTCAAGTGATCCTCCCACAACAGCCTCCCAAAGTGCTAGAATTACAGGTGTGAGCCACCACATCTACCCTATTTTTATATTTATTTATTTATTTATTTTGAGATGGAGTTTCACTCTTGTTGCCCAGGCTGGAGTACAGTGGTGCGATCTCGGCTCACTGCAACCTCAGCTTCCCAGGTTCAAGCGATTCTCCTGCTTCAGCCTCCCAAGTAGCTGGGACTACAGGTGTGCGCCATCACGCCCGGCTAATTTTGTATTTTTGGTAGAGATGGGGTTTCACTGTGTTGGTCAGGTTGGTCTGACCTCAGGTGATCCACCCACCTTGGCCTCCCAAAGTGCTGGGAATACAGGCATGAGACACCACACCCAGCCCACCTGGCCTATTTATTAAATTTATTTAACAAACAGGGTCTTGCTCTATCACCCAGGCTGGAGTTCAGTGGTGTCATCATAGCTCACTGTAACCTTGAACTCCTGGACTCAAGCAATTCTCCCGCTCAGCCTTCTGAGTAGCTGGGACTATAGGTGTGTGTGACCACATCTGGCTAATTAAAATATATATGTGTATATATATAGTTTGTAGAGACAAGGTCTCCTTATATTGCCCAGGCTGTCTCAAACTCCTGGGCTCAAGCTATCCTCCTGCCTCAGCCTCCCAAAGCACTAGGATTACAGGCATGAGCCACTGTGCCCAGCCCATACTCTTTCATTTTCTAGGACAAAGACTACAAACTGTGGACCTATGGGTTGAGCCTAGACTGCATACATATATTTTTTTAATTTGAAGATCATCCCTTCCCAGCATTATAGTAAATGGAACAACACTGAAATCCTACTTGGTACCAGTGTGCCTTAATATGCTAGATAAAATATTTTAAATATCTTTGCTTCAGATTTTAAAAAATATTTCAATATGCTGAAAAATTTTAAGCACATAAAAGTAAACAGAAAAGTATGAGCCTCCAGGTAATCATCAGCCAGCTCCAGCAATTATCAAATCAGGGCCAATATTATTTTATCTGTACCCTGCCCACTCACCCCTTATTATTATGAAAAAATGGGACAAATTAAAACTGTGTGCCATCTGATACAGCACAACGAGAATAACAGCATCACTGGGCTATCCCTGCCAACGATGCATAACCTGAATCCGACATCAGACAAATCCATATTAAGGGGCAATCAAAATAACTGGCCGGGGCCAGTTATTTTACAGGTTTATGTCTGTAATCCCAGCACTCTGGGAGTCCAAGGCAGGCGGATCACTTGAGGTCAGGAGTTCGAGACCAGCCTGGCCAACATGGTGAAACCCTGGCTGTACTAAAAATACAAAAATTAGCCAGGCATGGTGGCAGGCACCTGTATTCCCAGCTACTCAGAAGGCTGAGGCAGGAGAATCGCATGAACCCAGTAGTCAGAGGTTGCAGTGAGCCAAGACCACGCCACTACACTCCAGCCTGGGCAATAGAGCGGGACTCCGTCATAAAACAAAATAAAAAATAAATAAATAAAGAACTGGACTGTAATGTTCTAAAGTGTCAGGGTCTGGCCGGGCACAGTGGCTCATGCCTGTAATCCCAGCACTTTAGGAGGCCAAAGTGGGCAGATCACCTGAGGTCAGCAGTTCGAGAGCAGCCTGGACAACATGGTGAAACCCTGACTCTACTAAAAATACAGAGGATAGCTGGACATGGTGGCAAGTGCCTGTAATCCCAGCTACTCAGGATGCTGAGGCAGGAGAATCACTTGAACCCAGGAGATAGAGGTTGCAGTGAGCCAAGATGGTGCCACTGCATTCCAGCCTGGGCAACAGAGCAAGACTCTGTCTCAAAAATAAATAAATAGGCTGGGCGCGGCCGGGCGCGGTGGCTCAAGCCTGTAATCCCAGCACTTTGGGAGGCCGAGACGGGCGGATCACGAGGTCAGGAGATCGAGACCATCCTGGCTAACACGGTGAAACCCCGTCTCTACTAAAAAATACAAAAAACTAGCCGGGCGCGGTGGCAGGCGCCTGTAGTCCCAACTACTCCGGAGGCTGAGGCAGGAGAATGGCGTGAACCCGGGAGGCGGAGCTTGCAGTGAGCTGAGATCCGGCCACTGCACTCCAGCCTGGGCGGCAGAGCGAGACTCCGTCTCAAAAAAAAAAAAAAAAAAAGGCTGGGCGCAGTGGCTCATGCCTGTAATCCCAGCACTTTGGGAGGTCGAGGCTTGCAGATCACAAGGTGAGGAGATCGAGACCATCCTGGCTAACACGGTAAAACCCCATCTCTACTAAAAATACAAAAAACTTAGCCGGGCGTGGCGGCGGTCCTCTGTAGTCCCAGTTACTCGGGAGGCTGAGGCAGGAGAATGGTGTGAACCCAGGAGGCGGAGCTTGTAGTGAGCCAAGATTGCACCACTGCACACCAGCCTGGGTGACAGAGCGAGAGACTCCGTCTCAAAAAATAAATGAATAAATAAATACAAATAAAATAAAAATAAATAAAGTGTCAGGGTCATAAAAATCAAGGAAAGATCAGGAACTTTTCTGGGTTAAAGGAATT